TTAAAATAATTTGTGACGTATGAAAATTGTGATTTGTGACTAATTATATGGAATTTGTGACCAAATTATATGAAATTGTGACCTTAATATATTTAATTAATAAAATATATGTTTAATCAATTAATTTATAAATAAAATTTTAAAAACTCTGAAATTTTAAATTTTAAACTTAATTTCTTAAATTTAAAATTGGTAAAACTAAACCTCTTATTTATGAATTCTTCTCTTATTTTATTCAGGTCAACTAAATCAAAGTTGGATGAAACATACCATTTTTCCATGTGAAATTGAGCCTCTAAACTAAACTTATGGGTTATAGCTCTTGGGCCCACTTGGTTTTGGGCCAATTACTTAATTTAGTATTATTTCAATGTTCATATGGATAGTACTTTTTAATTTTTCATTCATGGTCATCTGCTCTAGGAACTGTAGAACATAATAAGGAAGCAGGAGATGAGTTCAGGCTAAATAAGAAATTATTTACCGAATGAAATTTTTTAAATCGTCATTTGGTTTGTTGTTTTCAGTTTTTGTAAAACAGAGAAAATGTCTTTGGTCTGCTATTTTTGAAAATGTATTTTCGAAAACAATGATAAATTTATAACATAAAACTCAAAATGCATTTTTATCGTTTTCAGCGAAAATTTTAAAAACATTCAAAACATGGAAAACAAGCGTTTAAATAAAATTTCGTTTAAATTAAATTATAAAACTAAACCTCTGAAAAATAAAATATAAAACCTAACAAATTAAATTTTAAAATTAAAAAACTAAAATTCACAAAAAAAAAAAAATTCACAAAAAAAATGATAAATTCAAAAAAATTAAAAAATTAAAATTTTGAAATAAAATTCTCAAAAATATATTAAACTGTAAAATTTAAAATTATGGAAAAAAATAATAATAAAAAGTTCAAACTCTTAAAACTGACCCTCAAAGAAAGTACTTTTCCTTCCTTTCAAGTTTGCAAACAAAGTATTTTGATAGAAATCCTCCTCAAGGATGAGATGCACAATTTAATGAAAGGTTGAAGATAAAAACTCAATGAAAAAAAGTTAGAAATATAAATGTTATAATAAAAAGAGATGACCTTTAGTACAATTAAAATGTGGTAAAATATATAAAATTGAGCCATAACTCCTAAATATATGGCGAAGTAAAAATTAAATCAAATTGCAATTCATGGGTTTGATCTCATGTGCACACATTGGACGCGAGTTATAATGTCCAACTGTGGGTGAGAAAATATGTGGTGTTGCCATGTCAATACTCTCACTGTTGATGTGACAACACCACATGTTGCCACACAATATGCATTACAATTTCTCTGTTACAATTTATGGGGAATATTAGCTTATGTTTGATGGTCATTATTTGTTCAAAATAATGTTTTGAATAGTGAAATTTTGGAGAATGCGTGATTAAAAAGTAAGTAAAAAATTTTGATTTACATGCAAAATATTTTATTGCGTGAATATGCGATTGAAAATAAATATGTAAAATAAAGAATTTTGAGATAATAATTATCAAACATGAGCTTAATCATGAAGAATTTTATGTTGATGGTTGGTACTTTGAACAACAATCAACAAGTACTGGGCGAAGCTTGCTATACGGCCAAGGCCACATGGGTCAAGGCCATCTAGGGTGGCATGTGGCACTCCTGGATGGCCGGGGCTCATGTATATCTTTTTCAATATAGCAAGTTTACGTGTACAGAAAAAACACACTGAAAGCATACAAAATACATACAAAAAGGTAGGCTCCATTTTTTGGCATATTTATTTCACATGGGGCCGACTCCCATGTGAGTATTTGTATTTTTCTCTATGAATTTTTCTACTCATTCTTTTTCGTATTGGGTTGGATTTTTGTACTATTAGAACAGTTGGTTCTTTTTGCATATAAATATAAAGTTAAAAAGTAGAATTCTCTTGGTTGGCACAGGACGATTGAAATGAATTAGATTTTGTTCAACATTAATCATGCGTCTCTGTTGTAATATGTATTTGCTTTTGCTATATACATAATGTTGCTTTAGATCAACTGTCGGTACATTTTTTCGTTAATCTTGTCTGGTCGAACTTGTCAAATTTGCATTATCTGTTACAAAAGAGGAGAACAAAGATTAAAGAGTGTAGGTGTGGGGTGGAGGCAAAGAAAATCAATGTATCATCCCAGCGGCAATCCCATAGCAATAAAGAAAAAGAAACAGAAGCAGTTTTCAAACATCTCATACCCAAATTCAAAAAAGCATTTAGACTTGTAGTCAAACACTTCCATTAATAATGTTCATATTCCATTTTGCTCCGAGAGTTGGATTTAGATTAGAGAGAGCACCGAATTTGCAATGCATGCATTCTTCTACCCTTCTCTTTTCGTGTTTTTCTTCCTAACTATGGGCTGTGATGCCATGGCTCCAGTCCACTTAAGGCAATGATGATTGATCTTCGGCCCAAATTCTTATATTCTATTTAACTGAAGTAAGCCCATTGAAGCCAGCCCAGAACCCGGCCCAAAACTTAAGTAAAAGTTAGCTGCTCTGAGTCGTTGGATTCGATCTGCCTAATCTCGAGGTTGGGATATTTGAGGGAGCTTGATCGTTTCTATAGTCATTCGATTCTACTCTCTATTCTCTCGTTCTTCTGGAGACTTCTGAGTGCTCTCATGTTCATCTTCTTCTTCGTGAGGTTTACTCTAGAATTGGTTTCTTGAGTTGTTTTCTGTGTGAAACTCTTGTGTTTGTAAGGCATTTAGTGTGGTAGTGTTGAATCCCTCGGGCTCATTGAAGTAGCTTTGTGTTTACGGTTTGGCTGTGGGGGGTTTGGTGAATCTGGGCTAGGGGTGGGCAAAAACCGAACCAACCCGACGAACCCGACCGACCCAAACCAACCCGATCGGGTTGGGTCGGTTTTTTTCCATTTTTTTCTCGGGTTGGGTTCTGGCAAAGCTTAGTGGGTCGGGTTGTGGGTTAATCCATCCAACCCGACCAAACCCGACCCAACCCAACCCGTCAATAAAAAAAAAAGGGCCATTTTTTTTTCAAACATATTTCAACTAAACCTGCACAACACTTCCAACATTTCCCCCACAATATAAATCAAAAGCGCCGACTTCCTAATTCTCTCTTTCCTCCTCCTTTCTTCATATTTTGCCCCCCATTTTTTTTCTCCTTTTCGGTTTGCATCGGCGATTCAACCTTCAATTCTTTTCCCAAGGTAAATTACCAAGTTTGCATATTTTTTTTTTCCGACTTATTACTAAGATTCAGCCCTCATTTTGCAGACTTTTTTGTACAAACTTATTTAATAGATCATTGAGCATGACCAAGAAACATATTTAACCTCTCATTTCTTCATTTTCACTACTTTATTTAGTGGCTACTCGTTTATTTCCATATATTCATTTATTTCTTTTAGATTCTCGTTTTAGTTTTGATTTTCTTGTTGAAAATTTGAATTGAGACATGAGCTGAAACATTGTAATTTAGAACTAGTTAATGGAAATCATCGATACAAACCGACCAACCCAACCCAACCCGACCGACACATAATTGGGTTGGATTGGGTTGGGTTTCAACATTTACATGGGTTGGGTTGGGTTGAATTTCGAACAAACCGATAATGTTGGGTTGGTTTTGGGTTGGGGCAAAAACCGACCCAACCCAACCCACGCCCACCCCTAATCTGGGCTTACAGTGTTGAAGGAGTTTAGATTAGATGTTCTGAGCCTATAAATCTGTGAGATCTTGGCTTTGTAGTGATTGATTCGGTGGCAATTTAATTTAGTGATTTCATGTTCTTGAGATTATTCGATTTGTTAGATCTGTAACTTTTTGAGTTATTCTTATTGTATAACACTAACCTTTGGTTAGAAGTTGATTCTTGTAATCTTCTTTGTAAAATCTGTACACTCAGTGTATTGTGACATAGTAATAACTCGATTTCTTGTAGCTTCCTTTAATCGGTAAAGGGATGATCTAGGATCCGGGGTTAGGATTTCGAGTGGTCAAACAGAAGTGTACAATTGAATCTGAGCCATTCGATTTTTTCAATTTCCTTGATGCTGTTGTAGTTGTATCAGTGATCGAGTGGAACGAACTAATCAAAATTACTTTATGATTTTACTATTTCTTGGTTCGAAGTTTTGTATAACAAGACAAATGACATGTTTGTGACTTCCAATAAATTCTATTGATAAAAAAACTTGAGTCATTAGGAAACATAAATGGTTGTGTTACAGAGAAAAAGTCCATTAACATTAAGATGGCATTAATTAGCTTAATAATTAATACTTGTGTCCGTACATCATGAATCCGTGATTGGCGGTCGGGTCGACCATCTAGTCAAACCACTATAATTAAGGAAGAATTGCAAAGAGGGTAAATATTGTTAAATTTTACTTTATGTTTCTGATCATTCCTTCCCCCCCCCACAACTAAATATGTTGTTGCCATGTGAAATTACCATCTCCCACCTCACAAAGAAATCAATATATTTTAATTAAGTGATCAATTGGAAAAGAAAACAAACTTCTATAATCAATTTGAAAGAGAACAACTAGTATGGAATTTCACTAGAATTTGAACAATGAATAATGTATTTAACACGTAATATATGATTCAACGGGATATCTTTAGTTCGAGTTTCACTATCACTCGTTACTGATGTGGATATTGATGAGAAAGATTTCTATGAAATAACTTTTTTCGCCGAAATAACTAGTCAAAGTTTTTAATCGAACGATAATAAGTCCTTTTACAACAGAATAATAGGATTGGAGAAGACCGAAATCCTATTACAAATAAATAAATTTATAGTAGAAAAAAATTAGCAATCCTTTTGTACTTGAATGAAGCCCTTGTTTTGAAATTGATAAAAAATTGAGTCAAATTCAGTAATTATTTTTAACTACACATTTCATGAGACTCACGACTTTTATCAACTTTTCAACCATACATTTCATCAATTTTTTACCAAAATCTATTAAAAATCTGATTTTTAGCTACACCAGTTCGGGAAGCAAATATTTTTAATCCCACCGTTTTGTACAAATAGACCGGAACTAGTTTGCATATCCTGGGATGGCACAACAGAGCAGAGCTCAACGGATCCATTATCAAGAAGTTCTTCAATCATTTGTTCAATATGGTCTTCTTCGAGTGACTTGATCAACTGTTGTGTGCAGGAGCTGTCCAGTACTTGTACTTCCTTCTTAACAACCCAATTCGCCTCTTCATGTGGAGTCGTCGACACCGTCAACTTATTTTCTGGAGACCATAATCTGGTTTCGTTAGCGTTGCCGATGACCGGAGGAACTCTTTGAGGGTGTTGCATTGATTGCTTGGTCATTTGAAGTGAAGCCATGTAGCATTTGTGCAATTTTGCTTTTAATGTGGCTGAAAGAAGCTTGGAGGAGTATGAATGTGACACATTGGGATTATAAGGGAAGTTAGTTCTAGCCCTTGGACCGCACATTAGCCTGGCTGCTTCGTCATAGGCTCTTGCTGCATCTTCTGCTGTCTCGAACGTGCCTAGCCAAATTCTAGTCTTCCTGCACCACATACATACGACGTTACGTTAGTTTTGGTACCACACTCACACTTGTGGAAAAAAATTCGCAAATTAAGATTTTATAACAAATACTTACAATAAAGGGTGGCGAATTTCGGACACCCAAGAGCCCCAATGCCTCTGCCGAACGCCCCGGTATCGTTGTTGCGATCTAGTCATTGTTAGTGCAATTCAAGCTTCCGTTGTAGCAAAATGTTTTTTTCTGAATGAAAGAGTCTGGTCCCTTAGGCAATGGAGGGATGAGGAGGGTGAGTTTATGTAGTTTGGAATGGGGATTGAAGGTCATGTAGCGAAACTGTGAAAGTGCTGTGTTTTCTTGGCCTCCTGGCAACCAGTTTAGGCAAATGGGTCCCACAGGTGGGAATAGGGTTCTTGACCTTTTCTTAAAATATCTACCTATCAATTAATACCCAGTTGGCTTGGCATGATTATTTGCATAAATTGGTGAAACAATAAAATAAAAAAAGAAAAAAAGGATCAAATATTCAAATGTTGGCCAGATTCAATTCATGTCATGACACGATTATAATTGCACTAAAATCGCAAAATCTTTAATTCTAGAGTGATGGTCTGATGGATTCTTCATGTGATATGCTCCATGACTTATTCAAAATGTTTGAAATTAAGCCATCCGATAATAATTTGAAGAAAAACGGCATTGTCTAATTAACCATGATTACAACTGGATGGCAGCCGCTTGAAGCAGCTGCAGATGATTGGCTATCAATTGCAACCCATGTCGAATAACTTCAATAAAAAACAAAGGTTTTTGTCTTATGTACATATGGTTGGTTTAATTATTCGGGTCAATCCTAGGTTTGGACAAAAATAATATTTGAGATCTATGACCACACCACAATAATTAAGTTGATCATTCATCCCCTATTTGATCAGATAAAAAAAATTAGATTAAAATATAAGTCAGAATTAACAATTAATTTTAGTCAGACACTTTATTCGATCTGCGGTTTCAATTAGACATTCCATAAACTTTTATCGATATCTACTCCAAATTTTTGGTTCTGTGGACGATTAACCTATCTCATTGTCATCACATAAATAAGAAGGGGATATAAAAAGATCTCTTCATCCATATCATGATCTAATTTCTAACGAGACTTTATTGTAACATGTCCTTAGCTATCTCAAGGTTTTTGAACGTAATGGGTAGTTAAGACATGGTTCTTATTATGGTTGTTAAAATGAGTGATGAATAAGTGAATAATACTTGTGAGTTCACTGAGATGTATGTTTAAAAAAGAAAATTCGATCATTTATATGCGATTTATAAATTAGCTAAATGAATGCTAAATAATCAATATCAATTACATTGTCGTCTTTTTTATTAAAAAAATAATACTTAAACTACTTGTAGATGGGAAATCCCCCTGTACAAGTTACAGATGTGATGTTGGCAGCACTGCAGTCAACATTAATTTTTTGGACATTGTCAACATTCTGTCAAGTTGTATGTATAAACTTTCGATACGTACAGTGAAGTNTTTTTATTTTTATCAGTTGTAAGTCTTTTTAATTCTTCAAAATAATTTGCTCTTTCCTTATATTTTTTTTGTTTTATTTTTAATATTTTTTTTTTTTTTTTTTTTTAGCGTACGTTGGTGTTACTGTTACATTGCATTATTCAAGAACGACTAGAGTGGTGAAAGTGAGCCGAAAATAGCAATGAAAAATACTAGACATAAATAATATTTAGTATTCATTTATTTTATTACGAATTAAATCGTTCATAAATTCTTGAGGCTAGGTTGACCATGTTGTCTCTCCATCTATAAATGAATATGTCTAGTTTGAACGTTAAGATGATGAAAAAGTGGGTTAAGTTTGATTTTTAGGAGACAAGTTTTTTCCATATGAGGCAAAAATGTTAGGTATGTATTTGTGTACATAGGATTTGATGGGATGGCTGATGCATTTATCTTTGAATTCTCCTATTGATTAATTATAAACCCCGTCGGTGCATCTGTTTCCTTTTCTTCTATGGTAAATCATCTGATATGCCACAAACGTTTCTTTCTTCAAAATTGTTGACTCAAAATCAAAATCTCAAATCAATTTTTAAAAAATGTTGGCAAGCTATATTATTCGAAATGGAAAAACGAAATGAAACTTAAGAGTGTGTTTGATGAAGAACGTGTGGCTGAAAAAGAAGGAAAAATTATTGATGTGATGAAAAATATTATTTTATTGAAGAATGCGCGGTTGAAAATGAGTAGAAGAAAGAAATTAAAAATTTTAATATGGCTCAGACAGAGACTTAACCTAACACAATACTCAAAAACATTTTTTTTTTACTGAAAATGTGGAAATATTGTATGAACAATTATAATTTATTCTTGGAATTTTATATATGTCTTGGCAGCATTAGAATTGCAGTCTGTAATTATTTAACTTCTTAGTTGAAGCCCAAAGTTAAGTTAAATTTTAGTCCTACGTTTGAACCCTGTGTGAAATAGCTATTTGCCCAGTCTTGCTTGCAAGCTGGATCAGCTCATGCAATTTGGGTAATCTTTTGGACTTCTAGCTAGTCACCCACTCCCACCAACATTGGTCCATTTTATCTCACTCTTCGTGCGCAAGGAAGATGAATTTCCAACCGTAGAGCAATGCTATCACATAAACAGGGTCAATCGAACTCGTAATAGCTTATTCCTCATCGAACTGACCTGACTAGTGCAATGCGTTGATGTTATATCAAAGCATTTTATTCAAAACGAGATGTCAAAAAATCGTCCCTTCCAAAAAAAAAAAAATTTTTTTTGAATGTGTGAATAGCCACCGCCCACTCTCGCTCTCATGCAATTTGGGTAATCTTTTGGACTTCTAGCTAGTCACACCGAACCCCATTAGTCCATTTTGTCTCACTCTTCTCGTGCAAGGTCACACACTTCTAAACGTAGAAAATGCATGTCATAAGGTCGCTTCTGTCATGAGTTGGAACGTATCTACTATGATTCAATGGTTTAAAATCGTCCCTTCTTCTTTTTTTTTTTGAAAAGTTTGAAACTCTCGTTACAAATTTCTCTGAAAATAACACTCTTTTGATATCAACAGCAAAATGAAGTCTTCCAAATGGATCGCCAAAAAAGGAGAAAAGGGCTGGGTCCAACTAAAACGTTAAAAGACTATAGGGCTTTAAAAGAGTGTTACTTTTCTGAGTTAGAAATGAACCCAAAACACGGGCCCAAATAGTGGACTTAAAAAAAAAAAAACTAAAAATTAATTAATTATGGCTGGAAATCGAACCAGTAATCATCGGCCAAGTTTCAGTCTCCAGTCCACTACACAACACCTTTTAAAATTATCACACGACTGTGACAACAATCACTAGGTTGTAATGTAATTTCTAAAACTTGATGGCCGAATCGAATGGCTAATATGTCTCCTTTTCTTATCTGTAATATTTAAATCTTCAGTAGTATTTGTTTCAACAAAAATCACACACTCGTAATTCTCTATGAACTTCATTTTTATTTTTTCAATTTCATTTCAAACGCACATTTTTATGAAAACCAAACCAAACCAAATAGAGCCAAATAACTCGGTGGTGTAAAGGACAGAAGTGAGGTAGTCTCGTTTAAAATGACATTCGCAGTATGAGGTTTCGATTTCTACCCCTTACAAGGTATGAAATTTGACTTTTGGTGGACACTAGTATGACAGCTCTTATACCCTAACCTGTTTAGGCACATTCCGCAATTTAACTCCTCTACACTGCTCTAAGGGCAGGACGGTGGGGAGCTCTAAGGTTGGGTTTCAATATTTTTTAAATAATTCGATGAATGGGGACTATGGTCCCGTTTGATTCACATTATTTTTTTTATTCTCATTTTTAATCGAACATTTTTCAATAAAATAATATTTTTCATTATATTAATAATTTTTTCTTCATTTTCAACCACATATTTCTCGTCACATCAACGATAAAAATATATTCTTTTTCCAAAAATGTGCACCGGCTATATCTCAGAATACGTGAACAATCAAGTTTGACATTCTAGTAATGTAATTTTTCTTAAGGTCGTGGAGAATGACGTATTGTGAGAATCAAATTGTTTTTGTTTAAAAGTTAAATCCGACTTAGAATTAAAGTATTTTAATTAAGCAAATATTATTAGTCCGATGGGACTAAGCAATGTCAGTACTTCAATTGATAAACAACTGAAGCTCTCTCTCATTCGTATCTATCGCTCCTTCCTTACCCCCTCGTCTCTTTTGTTGGGTCGTTTCTTCTTTTTCTTAATATATAAGAGCAATTCTTTTTAGGTAAAAAAACCATTTTCTGCGGTGGTCAGTTTCAATTTCTGATCTGGATTCAGCGGAACTTAGGACATTTGAATTCTCTATTCGATACATAATTCATAATTATTTATGCATGTGACGTAAATCTGTATTAACCTGTTTTATTTGGATTCGACGAGATTACTGCTGATTTTAGCACTGATAAATTTGATGGATCATTTTCCCAGGTGGATAATAGAGTCCTAGATGGCTTCAGCAATGCTATCTCTTGCGTCTGTTTCTCCATCTGCTTCACTCTCACTGCAAAAGAATTTCAAGGTACCCATCCATCATCGGAATTCAATAATTATCTACAAACAATTATTAGTTATTATCATTTTTTTAATTTCTTGGTGGCTCAGTAAGGAATGCTAATCTTGAATTTTTAGTTTGAAGTATACAGAGATGCTTTGAATTATAAAGGTGGAAATTTATGAATTTTGTTGTTTCTTGGATTTATAAGACCAATTGGAAGCGCGGAACTTCAAGTCGAATTAACTTCTTGGGATCAGATTTTAGTAAGACAAAGGTGCGTTTATCTTTCTACCGTGTAACTCTTAATATAGAAAAAGCAGTAATTCGACTTCTGGATTTGTAAAGTTATTTAGTGCTTTTGATAGTAAGGATCAGTTGGTGATTTATGTAAAATATGTAATTATCTTTTTCCGCTCTTAAATACATGACGTGGTGTTGGATTTCCTACTTCTGAGGATGGTTCGATATGCCTATTAGAAAAGATGATTTGAATAAAAATGGACTGCTCTATAACACTGGCAATACTGAACCATAAATTTTATTTATTTTATACATTTGTTTGGAAACAGGAGAATACTCATTTATCTCACTTCAATCTTATAATTATGAGGCAGCATTGAGATCTTTGTTTTGTATCCTGTTTATCTTTTATCATAGCAATTCATTTCCTTTTTCTTTTTGTTTATGTTTCTATGGTGTATTTTCTTGCAGCACCGTGATTCCCCTTGGCACCTAGCTTTTAAAGCTTGTGTTTCTTTCTGACTATTTACTCAAGAATCTGTATGACTGTATAATGTTGTAGAATGCAACCTCACCTCTAGCTCTAGGGGCTTAAAATACAATTACTGGTGTTCTTCAGTTTCAATAATTTATAAGTACCATACTGGATTGCCATTATCCCATTTATCCTTAGTCTCTTCTCCTACGTGAATTGACATCCTAATGCAACTGTTTTAAGTATCATGGTCTTCTGAATCAGCTGAGCGGCTCCTTCTGAATGTCTTTTTGTCGTTATGATCAAGTTTATTCTTCCATTGCAGTTCATCTTCAGAAAAATATGCATTATTAGGTTGTTGATTGGACGTTAATTAAACAGAACCGACTAGGAACTAAATGTCTGTAGGGTCTTTTGATTAGAGGATTATGTCATTGATACTAAAGAATGAAATTCAATTCCTTTTGTAACCAGATCTTGCATTTCTGTTATATGTTTGCTGCAGTCTTACACTCGGACAAGCATGACTGTTGCTGTCAAAGTTTCCCGATTCAATGACATAACAATGGCTCCTCCTGACCCTATCCTTGGAGTTTCTGAAGCATTCAAAGCTGACACGAATGAAATGAAGCTTAATCTTGGCGTGGGTGCTTATCGTACTGAAGATCTTCAACCATATGTACTTAATGTTGTTAAGAAGGTAAGTTCTTTTCTTAACTCTTTTGGTTCATATGTATTATATTATACTGCTTTGATTTTGTTTTTAAGAAGGTAAGTTCTTTTTCTAATTTGAGTTTGCAATGGTGAGATAAGTGGATTTTGTTTTCTCATTTGATGACACATTAAAAAAGTTCCCATTCACAAGATTGACGAGATCATAGTAAAACAGCTTGGTTATCACTGAGAAGAGTGGATTAACATTCAGATGGCTTATGTGCTTGTGTAGGATCTGATATAGTGAGTATTCCGTTAGATGTCGTAATGGACCAAAAGGAATGTCAGAAAGGGATTAATATAGCTGACCCAATTTTAACCAAATTTGCATTTGTTGTTTTATGACACTCTAATCATTGTTGAAATGTATATGTAGGCAGAAAATCTCATGTTGGAAAGAGGAGAAAACAAAGAGGTACTCAATATGTTAAAACGAATGGTTTGACCTGGTGTTTTTTTTATTACTCCAGATTCTTACCATCTTCTGGATCTGAATGTGTAGTATCTTCCAATCGAAGGTTTGGCAGCTTTCAACAAGGTGACGGCAGAATTATTGTTAGGAGCAGACAATGCGGTTATTCAGCAACAAAGAGTATGAGAATAGCACTTTTTTCTTTTACAAATACGGAAATAAATCCCATGTGCTCATTTTATTTGGTTTAAAGATATAGGTATTGCTGTAATTAATTCTGTTTCCTGGATTCAGGTTGCCACCGTTCAAGGTCTTTCAGGAACTGGGTCTCTGCGGCTTGCTGCAGCACTCATAGAGCGATATTTTCCTGGTGCCAAAGTTTTAATATCATCTCCGACCTGGGGTATATATTTTTATACTCTTGGACTACCCTGGATATTATGTGGGCACTGACAGTTTGACTTATAATGTCCTTGTAGGAAACCACAAGAACATTTTCAATGATGCTCGAGTTCCTTGGTCGGAATATCGGTATTATGACCCCAAAACTGTTGGGTTGGATTTTGATGGGATGATATCAGACATTAAGGTTAGCTTGAACAACCAACCTCTTTATTCAAAATTGTGGGACATACATAGAGTCAACTATTTTTTTCTTGTTGGCCTGTCTTTCAATGTCTTTCATTTATCTTGATGCTACTAATATGATGACCATGCATTTACCTGTTGTATAATTTTAATAACACGTTTAAAGAATTTCTCTAGTAAGTCGGAGCCTATTAAAGTGTTCATCGATTTGGTTTTACTTATAGAGTGAGTGTTCCTATTAATCTGAGGGTTGCCCTTCCTGCCTGTTCCTTTGTATGCTTGATATATAAGCACAGAAAGCAATTTTACTATTAGACTGCAATTGGAGGCCCTTGTGTCCCTCTACTTAAACAGTGAAAATTCTGAATTTTGCACTTCTGTTAGAAATGAAAAACTATATACTATATATACATTGGGTTTGGTCCAACTAGGACAAACTGCAGGTTGCATTTCGTCCTTCTATCTATGCGTACTATTAATATTATGTCTTTGCTACTTAATTTATTGTAATATTTGTTATCTAAAATCAAGTTCTTGTTTTTCCTCTTTCTGGTTAAATCAAATCTAATTCTGAAATCGATACTCTTGCACATTTGAGATGCACGTGACTGATGCAGAGAGCATGATCAACTGAGCTTTTCTCCCTGACAATAGAAGGAGAAAAATATCGAGGCCAAAAAGACTTTGCCTCTTGATCATATTAAGCTGGAGTTTCCTGTTTTAATAATTTTCTACACATAAATTGTTAAATATCCTGTTTATAGGCAGCACCTGATGGATCTTTTGTGTTACTTCACGGTTGTGCGCACAACCCAACTGGCATTGATCCCACCCCAGAACAATGGGAAAAAATTGCTGATGTCATTCAAGAGAAAAATCAGATTCCATTTTTTGATGTTGCCTACCAGGTACTTCATCGTCTGAATTAAGAACGTTTAATTTGGTTTACATTTGGCTTTAAATTAAGTGCTCATCATTTCTGCTAGGTGACAAATAGTGGATCTAATTTAAAGAAAGAATTTCAAGAACTTATGAAATTACTTGAACATCTTTTCATATTCGTGTATTTTACTCCAGAATCAGTTGGAAGTTGAAGTTATTGATAGTGGAATTTCCCCTATTTGAGTATAGGGTTTTGCAAGTGGTAGCCTTGATGAAGATGCATCATCTGTGAGATTGTTTGCCGCACGAGGTATGGAGCTTTTTGTTGCTCAGTCATACAGTAAAAACTTGGGTCTTTATGCAGAAAGGATTGGAGCAATCAATGTTGTCTGTGCGTCATCAGATGCCGCTGCAAGGTACAAGTGGTCAATTATTTCAATCTCCTCTATCTTTTGTTATCTAGTTTAGTTGATGACTTGCATTATGAACTCGGAACTGCCTGTACATAATTTTATTCAAGTCTTTACCGATCTAATAACGATGTTGACCATAGGACTCTAATTGGAACTTCCCTACCTATGTTAAGCACCGCGGACTCACCCTTTTGTCCACCTGCAACTAAGAATTGGATATGCTGACACCACCCCTCTATGATTTCTCATTAAACATATGTTTACAGAAGAAGCAATAGATGCCATATGGCTGAATAAAGGCTTTGGCATGAGGAAGAATACATAGTTGAGAAAAAAGGATGAAAAGAAGCTTCACAATGTTCCATGAGTTCAATCTCGGCCCAATTTGACGCTGCACTATATATATGAGCAAGTTGTGTTACCGATATCTGACCAAACCCACACCTTGGGCATACGTACTTAGCCACATCGGTGTGTAACATTTGAAGTATCCTGCATTCTGCTTGTGTTATCTTCTCCTACGTTTGTCGAGAGGATATCTTCATGGATATTTCCAAGGAATTCCAAGTACTTACAAATTTCATTGTCATTTAGATGGAATACATGTGAAGTGTTTGATGAGGTTATGCACTATCAGTTCCCTAGAATCTGTGAAGGGAGATTATGTAATTTTATTAAGTCTGTATGCGAATCAGAGCATTCATTTTGCAGGGTAAAGAGCCAACTCAAAAGACTTGCACGGCCTATGTACTCAAATCCTTCCATACATGGAGCTAGGATTGTAGCCAATGTTGTGGGAAGTCCAGAGCTTTTTAATCAATGGAAAGAGGAGATGGAAATGATGGCTGGAAGAATAAAGAGTGTCAGACAGAAACTGTATGATAGCCTCTGTGCAAAGGATAAGAGTGGGAAGGACTGGTCATTTATTCTCAAACAGATTGGCATGTTTTCCTTCACTGGACTGAGCAAAACTCAGGTAAAAACTAAAAATCCCAGCATTTTTAAGTTGCCCTATGATGTTGTGCTTGAAACGCGATTCTTTATCCTTACCTGAACATATTAGGAAAAAGTAAAAATAAAATTCCCAGTTTCATGTCTGCATTAATCATCATTATACGTCATTATATGGGAAAAAAAAATGAGAATTTGGTGACTCAGAATAAAGTTTTATCGAATTCAAACTCTGCAAATGTGGGACTGGTGAGCCCATATATCTTTTACTTATGTTTCTTGTTCTGTTCTGAATCAGACTGAGAACATGACCAGCAAGTGGCATGTTTACATGACGAAGGACGGGAGAATATCCTTAGCTGGACTATCGTCAGCCAAATGTGAATACCTTGCAGATGCCATTGTTGATTCATACCACAACGTGAAGTAGAAGAGAAGATCATAAGATACAAGTTCCAGATGAACTCCTAAGGAATTTTGATGAATTGATCACTTCAAATGTCGTTATAAAGTGTCATTGAATTGTGTTTTCTATGTTCGATCTGTACGAGGAAATTTTGGACATAAATATTGTTCCTACAAATTTTTGAACGATCGCATCTGTATCAAATAGTTGAAGAATAATGGGGAATAAATAAATATGGCTTCTTGAATGCTGGCCAAGGCTTTCCAAATTGTCAAGTGCGTGATCATATGAAACATAAAGGAAATATATTGGCTAATGGTATAATGTTTGTTTCACTATTATATATATATATATATACAAGTGTCTTATCTCAGCATATATATTAAAGCAAAAAGTGAAATCCCATAAAAGTAATCGAAAATGTCTCGCCTTGGGAGCAATTGAATGATCCGTAAAGGCAATGCAACTGAATAAAATTGCAGTTAGATAAAATCAGTTGTTGGAAGGCATTGTGGTGACTGCAGGTGGCGCCGGTTTTGCAATTCTGAGGGTGCCACCAAGCTCCATGGGAACAAGGGGGGTAAGAGAATGCAATACATCTGCTATCAATGGACGATAGCTCGGTTCTGGTTGAATGCATAATACAGCAACAGCAGCAACCTGCAAAGAGGATATCTTAATATAGCACACAAATTCCAGTTTCTGCTTAATCCAAATCAACCACCATCCTACCCTGAAATGTAATGTCCCAAAGATTAGTTTGGATTCACAAACCTGATACAGGTGCTTTAAATCCATTGCGTTTCTGATCACAGGGTCTACAATGTTTGGAAGTTTGGATCTATCAGTGAGTTGAGGCATCGCCTGCATTTCGTCTATATATCAAGCTTCTAATAAAAAAGTTTGTGGGACTAGTAGAAAACCAAGTGCTATGTGTTTAACAGCCAGGCATACCCATGTGACGATAGATTGGCATTGAGTTGGTGCCAGTTTCTCCACAGGTTTTCTTCCCAGTAGAAGCTCAAGTAAAACAACTCCAAATGCAAAAACATCGCTTTTATCTGTTAATTTACCTATAAGAGAGAAAAATGAAAAAAGAAAATCACGATCATCAAAATGGAACTAACAAGGCAAAGACAGGCCATATGCCAAAACCAATGGCCTATTAATTTTATTATCTTTCCAAATTTAGAACTCTAGTCCTCGAACCTGAAGTAGCAACAATAAGAAACATAATTTGCAGTCTGAAAAATCAACATTTACACACAACGAAAGAAACTAAGAAATTCGAGTGTGTGTACCATCTAAAAGGTACTCGGGGGCTACATAACCCAAAGTTCCTGAAAGTTTAATGTTGCTACTCTTCTGGGCACCATCGCGTACAGCAAGACCAAAATCTGAAAGCTAAACAAAGGGAGAAAACGAGTGAATTTTCATATAATTGAATTGATAGTGTAAGTTAGTAATAGAATAATCAGAAAAGGATAGAAATAGATCAAAGACTGGATTTTCTATAGTTTTTACCTTAGCACTGAAGTTGGAATCTAGAAGAATATTAGATGATTTCAGATCTCTATGAATTATTGGTGGATGGCAGTGCTCATGCAAATATTCTAATCCTCTGGTCAAACAGTTGCAATATATCAACATCCAACATCAATAATCAATGATAAGTATTAAATATCCACATGGGAGTGTCTGTTTATGTGCAAACGCACCTTGCTACATCAAGGGCAATTTTCATCCGAAGATGCCACGTTAATGCAGATCCACGCAAAGGTCCTTCAAACATTAATAAAACCGAAGGGGAAATTTAGAGTCTGTATTTGATTTTCTTAATCGATATATGTATCTCCTATGATTTAACATTGTTGAAATGTTTTTACCATGCAATTGAGTTTCCAGAGATCCATTCTGCATCAGTTCAAAAACAAGAAGCCTTATTTCTGCATGAATGCTACAACCCAACAAAGAAATTATATTCGGGTGCTGAATATTGCTCAACAACTTTACTTCATTCTGTAAATTCAAGAATAAGCAATCAATTTAGGATCATGAGATCTGCAGTACAAATGGATAGAAGAGCAAGCACAAACGAACTCTGGAGATAATTTGGTACCTCAAATTCTCTTATGGCGTCTGAAGTTCCCCCATGGAGTCTCTTCACAGCCACAGATAAGTTCTCTTCTAACTTAGCCTTGTACACACATCCAAATCCCCCCACACCCAAGATTTCACTTTCACTGAAATTGTTGGTTGCTGATTCTAACACCATGTATTCCATTGTAGTTACAGATCCCTTTCTACAACTTGTCTTGAAAGTATTGTATTTACCCAAGAATCGAAGCTGAGATAATGCAAGCCCTTTTGCAACATCTTTAAAGAAAACAAAAACAGATAAATCTCAGTGAAAGATCATGAAATTGAAGACTGAAACCATAAAAGAAATTAATCCCAAAAGAAAGTACCTGAGCTATGACCCCTTCTCTCCTTGGATTTGTTTGTGTACTTCCTATGATAAACCCAGAAACACAAAAGAAACAAAATGACTGTTCCCATAGCTGTGGAAGCAGTAATTAACGTTAAAAGCAGCTTCTTTTTTAAACCCATGCCGTGCTTTCCTCTTCCTACTTCAATACCTGATTACGCAGTAGATTTATAACTAAGAATTGACATCTTGGATTAAAATATGACAAACATCACAATAATAAAACCTGAAAATATGGTTCAAAGTCAGAAGACAGTGATGGTAGAACAGAAAATTATACCATCTAGCCAGCAGTTCAACGTCTGCTGTCAAGGACTAAATTAGAGGGAGGAAAAAGAGTCTATATATCAATTATCACACATTGATGAATGGGTATAGTGACAAGATAACATTTTTACATACATGCATTAAATGCTTAGAAAATAGCGGCCTTATGTTCGAGTTTTTCAAATTTGAAATTTGCCAAGAATGACCCAGGAAATATGAACAAGAAAAGTAGAAAAAATGCCGATTGAGTGAAGTAATTAATAATACCTGGAGAGAAGGCTGCCATTGATGAATAAACTGGAGAAATCTGTGGAGCAATTATTGAAGAAAGAGGAGACTCTGCAGTGTTGGCGGCATCAACAACAGTAGACAACAGAAGAAGAAGAAGAAAGTAGAGAACAAAGTTATTCATTTTTTTTTTAGTTTTTGCTTGCAGGTTCTAATTCTGATTCTCCCTTTTGTCTCTGTTTTAAACAGACATGTAAAGGAAAAATAAAGTGACTTTCGAGGGAAGAGACAGTAAACGCGGCGCCCACTCTACTGATGAAAGTTTTGTATTTTCTAAATTGTCTTTTAACGTTTGGGGGTCTTTGTCTCTTTGATGGACATTATTGAAACAAAAAAAATACATTTTATGATGCAATAAAAATATGTTGTTAAACAAAAAAAATAAAAAAATTCGAATTTGCGTGTAATATTATTTTATTAAAAAATTTGTAGCTAAAAATGAATTTTGATAAGAATGTGAATCAAACGAGGGCTGAATCTCAAATATATGTCTCGATCTCATTCTCACCCGAGTGGCAATGACAGTGGGCGGTCTAAATATCCAAAAGAAGACAAAAACTGAATGAATAATGCTGGTGTACATTCAATTTGACAGCCCCCTCACATAGGAGGTGGGGCCCGCGATTTTTGAAATTGTAGGGCCTACTCATTTGTGAAGTGACCGTCACCCATGATGTACACCTATGATGTACATGTACATCTAGCATTTGCCAAACTGAATACAGGGATATATATATTGTTGAAATTGAGTGGCTCGGTGCAGAACCATCACGTGGGCAGTTATCACAATTGTGTCTTTAAATCCCACGAATTACTTTGAAAATTATATTCAGTAAATATGTAAGCACGTCGATTTAAATAAAAAAAATGGATTTTTATTAAATTTTAATAAATAATAATGAAATGTATGATTAAAAATGAATTTAACGAAAAATGAGGATCAAACAGGGACTAAATTTGATGTGCGGTAAAACTGAGGATTATAATTTTACTCGTTAGGCCAACAATTGGGTTAATTTCTTAAAGGAAGCCTATACATAATTCATTTTCTATGACGTGGGTTGGTTGCAGTTGGTATGGGTTTATCACCTGTATTGTATACTAATAAAATTAGAAATAAAGAATAAAAAAAGAATGTTGAAATTGGGATAGATTACTAATCAACTAACTTGTGTGGGATAGCTTCCCACCTAACCCATTTTTCAACGCCTCCAACACCCTACCTATCAACTTAAAGTATTCGACTTACCTCCACGCGGACAACTATGTATTCTAGTCTTAATGAAATGTTCTTTTTAAAGCCTAAGAATGAATCTCTAATAGTATACTATGGAAAAAATACAGAGTTTTTTTCTTACAGAAGTTGATTTGATTGACCACCAAATTTGGAAGAAAATAGATTCAGCCTTGCCTTTCACAACTCGAGCTAAGAGTGACTATTGTGTTGTGTAGTTGGTCGAATGAATACGTAATTACAATTGTTTCAAGAAACACTTTTAAAAATAAGAAACTTCTAAAAAAGTTTCAAAAATCAAGTTGTCACGCCTCATAACAGGTCAAGATCACAAATGTTACACAATTATGGTCACAATCAGAAATCGCATAAAGTTATAATCACAAGATACAAATTCTGAGTTACGATTGCAAGTTTAGTCGCAATCACATATTTTTTTAGGTAACATATTACTTATTGATCACAAATTACCAAATAATTGGTCACAAATAATCTTCATCCCAATCAACCACCATTCCACCAACAACAACTATTATTTGCAAATTAATTCCTTGATCTGAAATTGCAAGTAGAAACCTGTAATTTCACAAATTACACTAGAGGCCCCGTTCCCAAATCCTCATATAAACCCTAATTTCCCCTCCTCTTCCTTGCGGTGCCAACACCCACCAACGTCGCGCATGGTCATAGGCGGTGCTCCATCCTAGACGCACCGTCGGGCATAGCGTTGCTACAACAACAGCATCGCGATGTTGCCCCAATAGCACCGACGTGACGTTGTTGCAATGGCAACGCCTCGCTACTATTGCAGTAGTGCTCGAAGTTGCTTATGTGGTGACGACGAGCAGGCTAGTGGCGAAAATTGTGGTGGTGTGGGTGTGATCATGACTTGGGAAATGGGTAAAAGAATAAATTACGATTTGTGAATGGACATCTGATTTTTGAAATAAAAAACCTTACACCTTATTTTTGAGTTGATAAGTTGTAAAGTATGCGAGGATGTAATTTCCACATTAGTGAAGCTCGTGTCTTTTGCTAGCCCGCCTGAATTGAAGAAGACAACATACATAAAAATAAACCAGTGAAATCAACAATATTTTCTTTGTACAGATGAGAATTACATGTTGAAGTTAAATTCAAATCAAATGCAAACTCGTATATATTGATAATCTTCCACCTCGACTTCGTCCACAATTTTTATATTATTGAATACTCTTACTATGTACTTCAAATATTCTTGTAACATTGCATGGCTAGTTAATAGTCTCAGTCATTTTCTGTGAATTTAACTCATTCAATGAGGTGTGATTAGACCGTAGTATTTGTTACTTGTAATTGAAGTGATAAATAATAGGAAGAATATTGAATAAATAGTAGGAATTGTTACTTGTAAATGAAGTGATAAATAATAGGGACAAAAAAAACATTGTTTAAGTTTACTTATATGCAATTAAAGGTAAAAATTGAGTTATAATTAAAAAATAATAAATCACTTATATGTTACATATGTAAAAATTACTTATAAATGAAAAAAATTCACTTATAAATAAAAAAATTATTTATAAGCCTCCGCCAAATTCATAAATCAAGTCAAACTTATCAACCACTTATTTTTATTTATTTTTGAAACAAATATTTATACATTCTTCCTAAACGGAGGCCAAGTAAAAGAAAAAAAGCACTTAATAAGTTTAAATTTTACTTATAAATAAAAACTTAACCTATATGTCAAGAATTAGTTAAAAGTTAAAAATATACATAAAAATAAATTAGAAGTAAAAAATTTCTTATGAGATTTTTATAACAGTATATTTAGAATAATAAATTAAACTAAGTTTCCATATATTTAAAATCATTCAAATTTAATTAATTAGGGATCCACTAATTGAATTAAAATAAATTATAATTACACTGTAAAATCAATTAATGTAATTCAATATACTACGAAACCCTTAGCTCCGCCTCTCTCTTTCCTCAATTCTTGTCACCATTTTCCCCATCAATTCATATCACCATTCTTAATAACCAAACCAATGTGTTCACCAATTTCAATATTTCAAGAATACAAAAATTAGCAATAAACCGAAAATAGATATCGAAATGAGAATACGAATTGTTAATTGGATTTTTTAAAATCTAAATGCCAACTAAGCACGGTATATCAAAACTCTCTCTATATATTTTATTATTATTATTTATGCAATCTTTTAATACCTCTAGTTCACCTTAATCCAATCCTCCACAATCTAATCCGTTATACCAAATGTGCCCACGCTGCGTCTATTAGCAACTACGTCGTTGGAGCAGTAATATTTGTGTCCAACAAGAACAGCTCATGGAGGCCCAACTCAGTCTGGCCCAACCCAATTCTCAGTACATTATTGATCATAAAACGGGCCGACAGGGACCCATGAACTGTCTTTATTTACATTTCCCCCCTCTCCGTCTCTTCCTCACACACACCTGCCTCTCTTCAGATCTGTCTGATATCTCATTTCCCCCTTTCTAACTTAACTCTCTTTTTATTTCTCATTTCAATTTTCAATGGGAGGAGTAGAAGTTCTTCATCCACAAAATTTGTTGAAAGATCGATTCGCTCACCACCGACCTCGTCATAGTTCAATTAAATCCCCTACGAAATTCCAGAAAAAACCAAACATTTCTCCTAACCCTAACCCTAATTCTTATCCGGAGAAATCGAGTCGGCGGAAGAGAATCCAACAGATTACTTCCAACAATCGGTATTCTTCTACCTCACCTCCAAACAACCGCACCCTGGTAATGGGGCAGGTTAAGATTTTGAAGCGCGGAGAAGCGTTGAACAAAGATATGGACGAGGGGAACAAGAAAATGGCGGCAGTTGACGATTTGATGGTTCTTTCGTCGATGGATCGGCTGGGTCCGGAGCCGGATATGATTCCAAACCAGATCCAGGTCCTGAAGTTCTACGCAGGTTCGGCTTTCATTTCATCGCCTCCACCAAGTTGTCTTCCGAAACCAGCGTTTTCTAAGAAGAAAACCGTTGACAGCAACATTGATGACGCCACCAGTGATTTGCGAAGGATCCTCAGGCTCGATCTGGATTGAATTTAAACTTATTCGGTTTGATTATTGGCGAATAACTTCCCTTATTTTTTCAAGGGGAATGTCGAATTCGGAAGCGGTAGATTGTTTTTTGTTATTGTTATCCATCTTGAGTATGGTTGTATATTATAGTGTGTTTAAAATATGGGTTATTCAGTATGCTTGTGCTGGGATTTTAGGTCTTAATGAATTTTAAGTTATGGAGTTGTAGAATAGTTTGGAGTATTACTATTAATGGATTAGAAATGTATTAGTAATGTCTGGTATCTTCTTCTGTGTTGGCCTATCAGAGTTTTCTGTATATGATTATGAAGCTCCCATTTCCTTTATGTACTAAATCCTGTTTTCTTGTGTGTTCGGTTTGGTGCAAATTTTCGAACTTCAAATTATTGGATATGTTAAGAACGAACTTTCAAGAGTTTAGTTGATTTGGAGGTTTGGTTTATAAATGTTGGACTCATAACAAGGAAATGTTGGATATCTTCTTCAAACCAAGGTACACTAATCAAGCTGGCACGGCTGATTTTGATTTTGTAGGCATGCAAGGTATCACAGGGCTTCAAAACTTAAGTTGAATTCCGTCGGCAATGGCGTCGAAATTTCTTGCCTCAATTTGCCAGAAAACATAATGTACAAAATCGAGCAATACCTGCAAGATAATTGTATAGAAGTTCTATTACTCAACCAATAAAGAACAACTCGAATTTCAGTCCAGGGACAAAACAAACAATCTCAATCCTTTTAGCCAAACATATAAAATTTGTATTGCCATCAAGTAAACCTTGCACTACATTACTTTCATCCACACTGCATGTGCTTGATCTCTATACCCCTTTGACAAATGTTGCCAATCACGTGCATATACAAGCAATATTCTCACGTTGCCTTGTTAAATGTGCGCGCTCATCACGCAAATCCACACAAAGACATTAACATGAGGCAAGGCATTACAATCAAGATGGTCTAATATGAGGCATAGGGCAACACACTGACCACATTTTTGTCAACCTTGCTAAATGTACATTCTTGTTTACATTAAATTTGACATTCTAATGACATCCATCATAGTCATTGATTTTTACAACACCATGTTATCTCACTGGTCAGATTTCGATACATAAGAGGAATGTCAACAACAATGTAAACAAATATGAACATATAATGGAAGTTGGCAAAATTCTCACTTGTTTTCCCTTTTTTTTTTTTTTTATACTTCCTAAATAAAGACAAATCAGAGTAAAATTAGTATTCAAATGATTGAATAAATTTGCAGATTTTATTAAATAGTAAAAATTTACAACAGAATGAAGTTCACATACATCTTAATCCAGTCGAAACTCCAGTTAATGGAAATTTTAGAATCATTAAGGGGCCGTTCTCTTTGGTGTTTTCGGGCCGTTTTCTGTTTTCGATTTTTCAAAACAGTGAAAACACGTTCTCTTTCCCATTTTCGAAAACGAATTTTTGAAAACACAAAAAAAAATTGTACACAAAACGGAAAACGGCCAAAACTTCGTTTTGGATGTTTTTAGGCCAAAACACCAAAACAATGAAAACGCAGGAAACAGAGGCGAAATGAAACAAATCACAACTCCACCGTCTCCACGCCATCTTCAACAAACAATAGTTCCAGCCGACANTCGATTAACATTAAATTATTAAAATTTATTGAATAATCAGATTTATTGAATAAAATATTATAAAAAAAGATTCTCAAAATTTCAAAGTAAACGCGTTTTCAAATTTTCTATTTTGAGAAAAAGTTTTTCAGAATGACAAAGAGAACAAGTTTTCAGCAATTCCAAAACAGACACTCAAAACAGAAAACACAAAATGAATTCAAAACTCAAAACACAAAACTGAAACACAAAGAGAACGGCCCCTAAGGTTTTTAAAGACGGTGATTGCTGAGTATTTTGATTTAGCTTTATGAATTTGAAACCGTCATTTCATTTGTAGATAACAAAGGAGAAAAAAAGGGGGGGAGGGGGGCTGGGGTTTGAAACGTAAAAAAATAAATGGAAATTGTACGTTGTGCTGTTTTTGCCAAGCTTCTCTTTTGCTAATTCCAGCGCCAAAAACTCACTATAATGAATTAATTGTCCCAATAATCACTGAATTTATGTCTGCATCTTCAACTACTTACTAAAGTTTCAAATGTTGAGTTTTGGCCACTAAACTTATCAAAATGTTGAGCGATATTCACTAGCATGACATCTTACACAACTCTAACGGAAGTGGTGACATGGTTGATAGAATGCACACGTGGTGTCCAAATGCCATTATGCGACCAATCACAGCGTACCATGTGGTTTCCGGTTGGTTGGCGCACAACCAGGGGTCCAGGTTATGTTGGTTATGAAGAAGGCAGCTAGCTGACAGAAGTAGCCGCGCAAAGGCCTAATTGTGTTGTGGTGTTTGATGAATCGAGAAGGCACATCATGATGTTGTCAACATCATTTTACAGTTGTTAGACAATGGAAGAATAACCGATTCACACCAACACTGTTGTGATTATGACGTCAAACTTTGGATCTCATTATATCCTTGAAATTAGAAGCTTCCAGGATAGCAAGGATGCAGTTTATGAAGTGATGAAAACCAAGTGGTTGAGTCACCAAGACAAAATTTTGGGCCAGAGTTCATGCATCGGATTGATGAGTACATTGTTTTCCAACCTCTGGACTCTACACAAATTAGCAAAATTATTGAAATCCAGGTGACAAAGCCGAGTCGTCAAGACCGAGTTAAATTCCGTTTTTGAACTCTACAATTCTCTTCTTTGAAGTACAGTACTTCCAAATACTTTTCTTTCTTTTTGTGATGATAAGATTTCTGATTGCCTCAACATGGTATCAGCTGCGGACAATATAAAGTAGAAAAAACTGGTCTCTTATATGTAACTGCATGGACGAATAATTATTTTAGGAGGTACTATCAACCCAACACCCATATGGTGACTTTTTTCCGTCAACCCTCAGTAAAAAACTGTCAATTGTTCCTTGTAAAAGGCGTGACAGCTCTTCCCTCATACAACCTGATTATAAAAAGAATTAAACCATATGTACAGAAAGAATGGTTCATAGAAGATTTACCGACTCACACGTGTGGGACCCACCACAATGAAAATGAAACCCCCCCATAAAATGTCATGTTGTCCCATAACATTATTATTTTATTGCGGCTGCAGCTTAATCGTGTGAATGACAGACTTAAACAGAGGAAATTTGATTTCCATTACACGGAGGAAGCTGTCAATCTTCTGGGAACATTAGGCTTTGACCCTAACTTCGTTGCGAGACCTG